TCTATCAATCTCCATTGTTTACAAAGGGATTTATTCAGTTTCAAGTATACTTAAAACATTTGGTACTAATGGCTTTTAGGGCATTAACCCGTCGCTTCCGACAAATCCATTTACTTGAAAACTACATCAAGCATATAGAACAGCGATATTAGCTGAACATTAGGTGTGTTGTAGATGTATAATCGATGATACGTAAATGAAGCCTGTACAAAACAAAAGTTAGACAACTCAGTTATTATCGGCAGAAGTGTCGTTAAATTCGGACCATGTATTTTACCACCCGTTCCAATATTATTCCCTCCTAGGAGGGGATGATAATAACAAAATAAATCGTCCTATAGTGAGAACTGCCATCTTTTTATCTAATCTCCCATAACGTATCTTTAAGAAGTAATATTAGATTTAATATGGTTTAACGACCTACTGTTCTGCACCGACTAGGTAAATGAAAACGGGAATATGTCATACAGTTTACTATGGTGAAGGACATTCTGTAAGGATAGCGATGCTACGCCCTATTATTATTTCAAAGTACAAGCATCAAGGTTCCTTTACATGCATGCCAAAGTACACGATACATCGTGATTTCGTGCCATTGGCAAGACTGGACGCCCAAGAGAATTGCTGTGAATTTCACTGCCAGGAACGAATGAGATCTGTTTCATCAGAAAATAGAAATGAAAGACAATTTCACATGGATTCCGTCTAATCTTCATGAAATTACAAAAAAAAACACACAAAAAAAACACAGCTGCGTGGTTTCGTGACAAGGAATAGGGCCGCCTGTCCAACCTCGTGGGTTTTCACCGGGCCCTTCGGTTTGTTCACACTGCTAAAGACCCCTAAGCACAAGCGAATTATTGAAATAAAATTGAACCATGTGTTAGTCCCGAAATGACCTAGTTTGTGTCGAGTGGACATTAAATCCCATTCCTCTCTCAAATCAAAATAAATAAATTTTACAGTTTACTGAATACGCGTACACACGGGACCTGTGTATAATATGGATAGAAATTGACATGACACAAATATCGGGTTCCTTTCATTGAGCGGCGTAGTTCTCCCTTGTCAGTGATGCAGGACGGAGGGCCTGACAAGGACAGCTGTCTAGTCCTTCGGATGAGACGAAAAACCGAGGTCACGTGTATACATTGGAATGCACGTAAAAGATCCCTTGGCAGTTGGAATTCGATATAAGAGTAGGCGATAGTGCCGCTGCCCGAGGCAAAATTTCCCTCATAGCACACTATATGGCGTATGCCCGTCTTCATTAGCCCAGCATAGGAGCAGAACAGTAGGACGTTAAACCCCATTTCATTTCATTTTCACGTACACATTAAACCATCCGTATGAAGTATGCCAGTCTTCATTAGCCCAGCATAGGAGGAGAACAGTAAGACGTTAATCCCCATTTAATTTCATAGAGTGAGAAGAATTCATGATTGTAATTTAATGAGGAGATAGACAGTCTCTATACCTAATACATTCTCCCAATATTCAGTTCTAGAAATAATTCACAATAACCCAATGATTTCATTCAATATATTTATTAAAATTATTTCAAAACAAAGAAATGTGTAACAAAAAGTTTTTAATTTACAGGTGAGAGCTAAGTGTATTCCATTTCTTCACAAGAAATATGCGTTTCAAAGTCATTCAGGCACACACATAGTGTAACAAGCATGGTGTTCATTCAATGCAAATAACCGTTAGGGATGAATCAATCAGTCAGTGTTGGTGGTTATTTAAACATTATATTTTATTGTCCTTCCGTGTTAGCAATTTATCGGTTTTAAATGACAAATGAAATGAAATGAAATGGAGTTATATCGAATTCCAACTGCCAAGGGAACTTTTACGTGCACGCCAATGTATACACGATGCCTCGGTTTTTCTTTCCATACGAACGACTGGACCTTCGTCCTGCACCACTGACAAGGGGAAACCACGTCTGAAAATCCTGATGAACTTTCTCGGCCAATGTAGGGATCGAACACGTGACCTCCAGGCTAGCGAGCCAGCGTCTTAACCAACTAGCCACCGTGGCTCCCTTCAAATAAAAAATCAATAGTGTAATATACTGTGGATCAAACACGCGACCTCCAGGCTAGCGAGCCAGCGCCTTACGCCACTTAGCCTCTCTGGCTACCATTTCAATAACAGACCTAATCTGTACGTATAACTGAGTTCTGGTAGTTGGAATTTGCATTATAAGACTTTGAAAAGGGGTTTTAAAGGGTTCATTCAACCAGGATTATTCACTTGACCTATTGGTTACTGGGTTATGGCCATTTGAATAATGGCGAAATTTCAGCAAAATCGAAAAATATCGAGATGAAATGGGACAATAATGACATTAATATGTCGGAGACATTAGTACAAACTATAATTACACCAAGTTTCAGATTTTTGGGCGCTCACCTACCAAGTTGTATCGGCTCGAAAATACGAGACAAATTTCGAAAATTTGTGCCTGAAACTATATTCGAGGCCAATTGTCTTGGAATCTAGTGAGGACTCGTGCGTTTGCATGTGTTTCGTATGTAGCACTACCGGCAATCTCTGGATAGGCCAAACTATGGGTCTATATATATTATTTTATAGCTCCTGGAGCACTCCAAAATTCAGAAGATATACAATTACACTAATTTTTGGCGGTTTTCATGGCCAAGTAGCGTGTGAACCCTACCACTCACCTGTAATCTGATTGAAAACACGAATTATTTATCAATTTAAATTAACATTGATGTTGTGATCTTAGCGGGAAAAGGTAGGCTTCTGATATCCAATATTTGCGATAAAATAAACATAAAAAGTACACGAATCGTGTACCATAATACGTTTCAGCACCATTTGTAACAAGGTACTCAAAGAACAGGGCTAGACATATTCCACAAGTCACGTCAAATGGTGACGCTATAATCTTGAAGGAAACAATGAGACTGATATAGACGAAGAATATAAATATTTAATATTTTATTACTAGACTATATCATTTTTTTATACACTATAATATGTTCATGTTAAATGTTTAATATTGTTTTATAGTTAGTATATATGATTTAAAATTTTATACACCATCAACAGACTAGTAGAACCAGTAGACTTTATCTCCATGTTTTATATTCAATTTTGATAATGGAAGATGTTTGTTGTGATGTGTGTAGTTGTACTTCTGTTCATCATCAGCACTGTAGATAGAACGAATATAACCATCATACTCTTTTCTATACTTCTCCCCCCCCCCTCCTGCATCATCTCCTCTAATTCATACACTGTTTTATCCCTACGTATGGTCGTATTATACAGACCCCTGTAAATACAGGTAAATATATATTATAATATTTATACAGGTACTGGATACTACAGGTAAATAAATAAAACATGTGATTCCAAGAAAGGGATAGAAGAAAATAAAATGGACGTTGAAATAGTGGACCTGTTTTCCATGTACGTGTTTTCCATGTAAGTGGATCTAATGCAGGTGTAATGGGACCGTTTCCAAATAATCGGCTAAAACGCGTACATGTAATACGTGGTTTATAGTGTTCAACTCAGATAAATATCTACTTGGACCATATTGAAATAACAGTCACCAGATGGGATAAATACCACGTGTGTTAAAACTGCTAACTGTTATATTAGTGACGTCATCTCTATTTGACGTCATCAATCGGTTGATGTTTTTGTTTAGTGTGGTTTCAACACTCGACTTGTATAGTGATATCAGTGTTTTAACTATAATATATAATTTTTACATGTTTTGTTTCTATCATCCACCCACTAATGGTTCTATTATAACAAGTTTAATATTCCTGATATGTCGGTTATATTAAAAACAATTATTTCATCTACTATTATAAAATGTTTATTTACCATAACTTGAGAGTAATCATTTCGTCTGTCTTGTCTGAATTTTTATTCGGTTGCGTTTTCTTGTCTGAATTTTTATTAACGTTAGTTTTCTTGACCACCTTTTCATCTTCCAGAACCCCCACTCTCTCTGTTAGTTGGTTCATTCCATCAGTGAGTTTGTGTATTTGATCGTTTTTAACATCCAGTTCATATCTCATGGTATCCACGTCATCGGTGAGTTTCTCTATTTTATCTTCCAGTTCATATTTCATGTCGTCCACGTCTTCCTTTAGTTGATTGGTAAGGCGGTTATCGACGATGTTATGATTACCCAACTGTACATAACTGGTACCGTTAAAATGATAAATAACAGGGTTGGTTTTAGTTGATTCTGACTGAAATAAATAAAATATATATAGAAATAATCACTGTCATGTGACATGATAAATACCCCCCCCCCACCTTCCCCACCCACGACATCAAAATGTCAAGTAGTATCACGCGTACGCGTAACTGAAATAACATAAGATCTGTCAAATGCCGTGGTTTCGATTCCCCATTTGTACGTGACAAGGAGAAAGAGAGAGAGAGAGAGAGAGAGAGAGAGAGAGGGAGAGAGAGAGAGAGAGAAAGAGAGAGAGATAGAGAGATAGAGAAAGAGAGAGCGAGAGAGAGTTTAACGCACACTCGACACAAACTAGGTCATTTCGGGACTAACATAATAAATGGTTCAATTTTATTTCCACAATTCGCTTGCGTGTAGGGGTCTTTAGCAGTGGGAGGAAACCGGAGGACCCGGAGAAAACCCACGATGTTGAACAGGCGACCCTACTCCTTGTCACGTACAACCGGGGAATCGACACCCCGCCTGTTGACTCAATGACAGACTTTATGATACAGCGCGCACGTGCTAACCATAGCGAGGCCGATTAGGCTCTATACGCGATATTTGGTGATGAATTTCCGTGTTTCTGGGATATATAGTATAATGTCCTTAATATACGTAAAACGTTCTAAAGAAATATGATTATTTTATCAAAATCAATTTAAAAAAATATCCCCCAAATCTTTTAAACATAAGAAAAAGTCCCATTGCTAAGCGAGGCCGATTGTATACTTCATGTGGTATAGTGCGATGAATTCCGCTATTTCTGTGATATATGTGATATTATTCTTAATTTATATAATACAATCACGTAAATATAATTTTTCTATGAAAATTAATTCATAGAAATACTTTATAATCTTTCAAAATTAAGAAAAAGTCCCACTGCTAAGCGAGGCCGATTGTATACTTCATGCATCGCGAGACTCTAATATACGCGATATTTGGTGATGAATTTCCGTGTTTCTGGGATATATAGTATAATGTCCTTAATATACGTAAATAAATATGATTATTTTATCAAAATCAATTGAAAAAATATCCCCCAAATCTTTTAAACAAAAGAAAAGGCTGACTGCATTGCGAGGCCGATTGGTGGTTCTATATGTTGTACAGTGCGATGAAATTCACTATTTCTGAGATATATAAAATTAAAGAGAGAGAGAGAGAGAGAGAGAGGGGGGGGCGGGGGCGAATAACGATTTAGTAGAAGATCCAACATCTCATTTTTGCAACTACCATACAGCGAGCCTGTTTAGATTCTTTGTGATATAGGGCGATGGGTTTGCCTACTAAATATAACATAATATTCATAATTTTTATTAACATTCAAGTATGGAAATTAATTGAGAAAATTTATACAAAATATAAACATAAGAAACGGGTGCAGGAAGATCCAAACTCTCATTTTAACCACAACTAAACATAATATCAAGGCTGCATATCGAACTGTCATGCGGCCTCGCTCAACAGCGGTCTCGCTTAGTACGCTTTATTATTTTCAGTGTTGGATGGCTATTATAGGACAATCTAGAATACAGTGTGTAAGATGGCTATTATATGACAATCGAGACTACCGTGTGTTAGATAGCTATTATAGGACAATCGTGGGAGGAAACCGGAGTACCCGGAGTAAACCCACGAGGTTGAGAAGGCGCCCCTATCCCCAAGCCACATACGCTCACACGAAGGATCGAAACCACAACCGTAAGCCAGAGGTCGAAGCGCGACACTCTTGACTACTAAGCCATCCTAACACACCTATCTTGTATGTAATTAATATGAATTTATATACCCTTAAATCTGAAACTCTAAGACCATGTCTTGTAATTAAATTGACTAACGACCGATACTGAGAATTGAAAGGGTTCTTCTAAGGAGAATAAAACCTCGATTGTTTGTTTAATTTACATGAATGCACGAGATTCCAAGTCCGGATTAGTTTTGAATTATTTTGTCAAAATTGAAATTTAAAATCTGTGATTCGTCACAAATTGAATAAACTGTATATGGACCTTCGAGTATGAATACCGTAAACAAATTTGTTTGGTAATTCCATAAACGCAAGCCATTCGATATGACAGCCCAATCCTAGCCCACTTTTCCTGATTCCTGGCAATTGTCTCCTGTATTAACCAGTTACTACATTATTATTTTTCAACGATGACTAAATTGTACGAATTATAGGCCTAACTAATGATAACGAAGCGATAACTAAATTGTACGAATTATAGGCCTAACTAATGATAACGAAACGATAACTAGATTGTACGAATTATAGGCCTAACTAATGATAATGAATCGATTACTAGATAGTTTGAATTATAGGCCTTACTAATAATAATGGAACGATGACTAAATTGTACGAATTATAGGCCTAACTAATGACAATGGAACTAGATTGTTTGAATTATAGGTCTAACTAATGATAATAGATTTGCAATTTCATAGGAGTTTTGGGTAATACAGATCATTATACACCGGAGGGATATGGTGTGTAAAGTGTCCTTCTGCAGAGCAATCATTGTGTAGGAAGTGAGATTTTCACCCCAGTCAACATCAAATCCATGTAGCAAAAAATCTAAACGGTCAACCCCCTACAAAATTATGATGAGGAGATTGCCTAATGTAGTCCCATTGTGCCTATAAAGATTGGAACCAACGGAATGTTGAGCTAAAAGCTACAACCTGTGATGTTACAGCCATTTAACATTGAAGTCAATGGGCAAATACTTGCTAGTATAGTCTGAGTTCATATAGTCGAGCAGTTGGTAACACAATTACTATCCTTCTAATTGAGGTAGAATGTTCAAACTTGGTGTAGGTTTTTATTATGTCCATGCCTTAATGGAGATCGATGATAAACATTGCATGCTTACAGTAAGCAGATATAAGCAATCTGATTGGTTGATGCTTTGGGGGACGATAACTTTGGCTATAATTAAGTGAGAGTGATGAAACTCTTGAGTATAGATTCATTTTATCATTACCTTGACTAAGTCCGATGATGAGGATTTTCTGAATAGGCTAAGGAGCAATAAGCAATTTGATTGGTCAAAACTTTGGAACATAACAACTCTCCTCTTAATTGACGTAGAATGTTTAAACTTTCGAGCTAAAGTTAAGCAGACCTAAGCAACTTCGTTGGTCGATGCTTTGGGACAAGATAACTTTGATTCTATCTGATAGAGAGTGGTGAAACTTAGTGTATAGTTGATAATCAGTTTGATTGCTTGATACTTTTGAAAAAAATAAATGTGCGATTAATTAATGTGTGTTATCTATTTATTTTGGGATTTCGGCGGGGGACATCAGCCTCACTGTTGGCTTGGTTTTATTATAGGTAGTTGATATGAACAAGTTTTACATTATATTCTGTTATTTATCCCGAGTTCAGCAGGAAAGACGTTTTTCTTGTTGTTTACTCTTGTGATATATCTATTAGACAGATTATCCTTTAAAGTGAGGCTAAAAGGTGAGGCTGAAATGTAGCAATAACATATCAGTAACAACGGTCGTAAAGTAATCTGTGGTCTCGATATTGCAGGTGGGGTAGGGGGATGTCTGATAGTGTGCTTTAGCTCATAAGGTCTGTCATTGAGTCACGTGCCCGGGATTTGATCCATGCTTATATGTGACAAAGAATAGGATTGTATTTAGTGTAGCACCATGGGTCGTTTGTCAGACGTGGAGAACGGTCAGCGCTAAACCCGGTTGCCACATCCGACGTATAACCCATGCATCGTTTCTTCCTACATATTCTGGAACATCCCATGATCGTCTAATATTGTCTCTGGCCGCATTTGTTTCTTATTTTCTTCTTGTAGGACTCCACTTTAAATATTGTGTATTTATTCTGCCATTCAGTTTATGGTTACACACAGTAACAACAATACCACATTTCGTTTCTACATTTTATATTAAGCACTGCTACATAGGTTACAAAGTTACAAACATAATAAAGTCATTCTCTCTAACCCGCTCTCATACAGACGCAGCGGGTCTGTTGATGGAAATTCCTATATCTTCTCCCTACGAGAACTACATGGCTGTCTACCCTAGAGCGCACATTCTATTAATTATATATTCTCAGATTCATACCCATTAATTATTCTATTGGCTACTTATGATGTAATTAATCATGTGATTGGTCACTCTTCCCAGATATGAAATGGTAACTTTCCTACCACGTATATTTCAAACAATAACAATTTATCCTTGAAAAATGCAAATGACCATCATGTTTACTAAACTCTAACTGCATTAACGTATCTAAACAACCAGCATACTTTCTCTATTTTTAGTTATGAAGTTAGAATCAATAATTTAAAAGATAAAGTTATTGTTCTAGCCATCATATTTCTACATTCTTGTCTTTAGCCCCATGTCTGGCTATTGTCACAATATTCATAACCACTTTTGAATTTGCGTTTCCGAATTAACTTATACCATAGCTAATATTTTGACAATGGAGAATAATTAATCAAAACCCTAATATTATTTATATAGATGTTTCAAAGCACAAATTCTTTCCCTCCATATTACTACATTAGGTCGTCTCCTTGCCCCCTGCTGTTGAAGACCCCTACACACAAGCGACTTGAAGACCCCTTGTTTGAAGACTCATCCACACAAGCGATTTGAAGACCATTTCACACAAGCGATCTTTCGAGAGACATCGTCTTATATACTGAGCTACAGCGACTCCCTTTTGTCAAACAAGACAAATTGATTATTTTGAAATGTCTTTATATTAAAGTTACAATTTCATATTTTTAAGTTATATTTTTAAAATTTATTTTAAAAAAAGCCTTAAAATAGAAGGTATCTATAACCTGTCATACCTTGTTAAAGAATAATCCTATTAATCCTATAATTCACTATTGCCAGTTGAGAAATTAGCAAAAATATCATTTTCAACTTCAAATTCAAACCTTTAAAAATAGCTATTCTATGGGGGGAATAGGAAAACAAGCTAGGTAATTGTGTTATTATTTCCTGTGTCAATGATTTTTAAGTATGGGAAATAATACCTATGATCGTATAATAGTGAGTTGATAACCTATTGAGCAAAAGTGTACACATATTTCACTTTATATTAAATGTGTACACACATTGGACTTTATATTAAAAGTGTACACATATTTCACTTTATATTAAAAGTGTTAACATGTTTGACTTTATATTAAAAGTGTACACTTATTTGATTTTATATTAAAAGTATACAATATTTGACAGTATATTAAAAGTGGACACATATTTGACTTTATATTTAAAGTGGACACATATTGGACGTTATATTATGATAAATGTGAAAGATTAATTATTATAATCAAACTGAATGTATTAGTAGTCATTGGTTAACACCGTTGGACATTGGTTGACATTAGTGGCCACTGGTTGACACTGGTTGACGTTGGTCGACACTGGTCTATACTGGCTGACATTGGTTGTGTTGACATTAGTAGCCACTGGTTGACATTGGTCGACATTGGTTGACATTAGTCTACACTGGTTTATACTGGTTGACGTTGGTTGGCACTGGTTGACATTGGTTGACACTGGTTGATATTGGTTGACACCGGAAAACCTAACATAAATGTAACGACTCTTTCATCCAGTAATTTTTGGCACAATGGATATAATTGAATACGAAGTGTTGTCATCTAACGTGATCCATTCATTATTTTATTTAAATTATATCAGATAAAATATTGAACTCGTGTGATTTATTTTTTCTCCCATAAACGTTCAGTAGTGATCCGG